TGATCATGTGTCTGAGAATTGACCCTTTTTAGAGAGAACCCTGCAGAGCCTTGATCCTGACGTGGTATGCGGTCCCTAAGATTCTAGAATCCCAACGGGAAAAGAAACCACGCAGAGATTTAGCCTATGAGCTTTTTTTTTTTTTTAACAGAAGGATCCCAGTGATGTCCTCAAGGAGCAGCTGGCTTAAAAACTTTTTGGAAGGAGAAGGAGGGATCTTTGTTACAAACTTCCGCCCCTCCTCCTGCTTCTGTTCCCTTCCCCTCTGCCCCCTGCAGAGTTGTGTTTCTGGGAATCAGCAAGTAAGATCACAAGTGGTCTTTTCTCCTTTCACTCTCATACAGAAAGCTTTATCACGTGTGGCCTTAAACTTGCAGCAAATTGCAAAGAAATGGCTCAAAAGCTTCAGATTTCTCTGTGCCCTGGGAGCTGAGATGCACGTCAGTGGCTTTTCTACAGACTGCCAGAGAAAAGAGGCTAGGAGGAAAGAGGAAAGAGTCGAAATTGCCCAGGGGTGAGACCATGCCCTTCCTCTTTTCTTTCCCCTAATTTGCTCTGTCTGTGTCCATCCAGGCTCTCCCCACCTGGGAAAACTGCTCAGAGCTGCTGTAGAATTCACCCCAGTTTCCTCTTTCAGTCTGTGGGGAGTGGGGTCCAGCCCCTCGCTGAGCACATTGGGAGGAATTAGCTGTCTTTGATCTCCACCTCCAGGTAAGATTTAGTTCTCTGCTTTCCTGTTTTGTGACGGCACTTCTCATAGGAGAGAAGCTAATCAGCCCTTCAGTTCTGCACTGCACTCGTCTTATCCATACCCACCGTCGAAGTTGTTGGGGCCCTTGTTAGGTTAGAGGACCCTGGTTAAAGTCAGATCAACTCAGATCTGGGTTCAAATTTTGACTCTTATAACTTAATTAGTTGGGTAGTTCTTGACCCGTCATTCTGAGTTGTATCATTTTCTATAAAATGGGGATTCTGATGCTTACCTTGTTGAGTTGTTTTAAGGATTAGCAAAAGGTATATCATTCCCCTGGCACAGAAATAGTACTTATTCAATCTGAATCTGACACAAACAGTTCGTTGTATGGGGTGGTGCGGGGCAGGGGGGTGGGCGGAGGGCGGGGATCAGCTTTCTTAACACACACTCCTTGTTAGCAAGTACTATGAGGTTACTTGGTGCCAGAAGACAAGCTAGTGCAGAGGTTTTCCTTGCATGGGTGTGGGATGGCTAAGAGAAGAGGGTGGCTGCTTTCTGACTTGCTCTCTGGCAGTGTCTAAGGTTTGACTGTGGATGGAATCTATGTCACAGCATCACGGCCAGGAGGTTCAGGGCATCTGCATGATCCAGTTACAACCTTCCTAGGCTGTCTGTGCTCTTTAAAGACTGGGAGATTGATTTTCAAACCCATATGAACAGAAAATTCAATTTTTTTTAAGAGAAATAGAGAAAAACTGGTTGGCTTCTTTTTCTGTGGCCTCCCCAATGAGATACACTCCAACCCAAGCTGTTGGATGAAAACTGTGCCATAAGTCTTTTCCTGGTGGAATCTGTTCAAGTGGTGGGAGCACAATTAAGGATTTGCCAAATGCAAATCCTTCTCAATAACTGTGTGCTCTTGCTCTATTTCTGTGACTACAAATGAATGGGGGGAGAGAGAGAGAATCTGGGGGATCTTTCCATTCAGGTCTTTGAGCTGTCCTTCCCCTTCTTTTCACAGAGGGATGAAAAGCTCAATGCTCATAAATATAGCCTCCTTGAAACATATTATCCTTGAGATGATTTGCAAATTAGCCATCAAGATGAAATTCTATTTTCAGTAAAAGTCTGCAGTGTCAGTGTTTTAAGCTGAATGCTGTTTTGCCCTAATACAACATCATCTAGGATGACGATAGTTCTCTTATTTTTGTTATCACTTCTGGATTCTAGGTAGAGTGATTTTTGTATGATCACCTCCAAGTATAAGAAGACAATGTGTTTTGGTGTCTCAAGTTTTTAATATTTTTTCAACATGATTGTTTTTCTCTTTAGCATTAGCATTCTGGATGTCACCCTTTGAATCTTTTAAAGATACATTTAGTGTAGTGATAGTATATTTAATTATTAAAGAATTAATTTGCATGTTGTTGTCCACTGACTTTTTATTATGATTGGCCAGAAATAATATATTGAACCCCTGAAATAGTAGGTCAATTTGAATGGTATTTAAAATTTTTCTGGTATATATTTCTTGCTTGGTGATATGTTTATACCTTTAATATTTAAAATATTTTTATATGTTCATTATAGAAAAATGAGAAAATATAGACACACAAAACATTTTTTAAAACATTATCTGCATTGTCACCAACCAGGAATAATGTGTTAACCTTTTCTTTAAAGACTTTCTGAAACTTTGTTTCTATGCATATACACATGTGAAAATGTGTGCTTCTTTTTGTAAAATAGAGTATTATAGATATTGTTTTGTACCATAGATTTTAAAAATCAGCTCTATAATAAACATATTCTATATAGCTATATTTACTTCTTTATACTAATTTCCAATGGCTTCAAAAGATTTCACTGCATGAATAAGACCATAATTAGTTGGACATTTAGGTCATTTAGTTGTTTTGACTTTTTATTATTATTTATTATTATTATTATTAGCAGTGGGTCTCTAGCAGTTTAATTAAAGGTACTCAGTAGTCTTTTAGTTAGAAACCTATTTAACATTGCATAACCCAGTGTTTCTCGAACTCCCTTTTCATTGTTCTGACAAAATATTATTCTGGACAACTAGTTTCAGTGACTCAGTGAATGTACAATGTTGGCCATAGGTATTAGATAGATGGTAAAGAAGAATTTCTATGTCCTTAGTTTCTTAGAATTTATTTTTTTAAAAATCAGGAATGGATGTTGAATTTTATCACCTGATGTTTTGCATCTACTTAGATTTTATTATTTTTGACTTCGGATTCCTTTTTTTTCCAGCTTTACTGAGATGTGATTGACAAATAGAGATTGTATAAATTCATGGCACACAATGCGATGTTTTGATATACCTCTATAACGTTGAATTTTTAATGTGATGATTTAGGTGAATAAAGTTCCTAATATTAATTGTTACATTTTAAACTAGATCTTAATTAAAGAATATAAATTCATTTGGATTTGCTAGTATTTTATTTAAAATTTTAGCATCTCTAAATTTCATATGAAGTGTTTTTCTTGTACTATCTTAATGAGATTTTATCAAAATAATTGTGACTTTTTAAAATGAATAGAGATTTTGATCATGTTTCAGTTACCTATTATTTTCTCCCTGAAGGATATCCCTTGATAAAGCACTCCTGTTATGTCATCTATCCTTACTAGTTTTGTTTAGGGGATAGTTTTAGGGTATTTTTGTTAATGTCTTCCTTGGCTATTTTTCTCTTCTGGTCTGTATTAATACAGGTAATTCATATTTGCTAGAAAACTATCTATTTGGTCGAGACTTTAAAGTTATTTCTATATATTGTGCATAATTTTTATGTTTTATACTTTTAAACATCTATGTTTAGAGCTCACTAATATATTCTGTGTCTTTGTCTTTTGATCTTGCTTAGCATTTTCTGCTGTTTGTTTACTTTAGTTCTTTGGTTTTTAACTTTTTTCTATTTCATTTGACTTTCTTTTGGCCATTTTTTAAAAGTTAAATTTATGTATCAAATAATCTAAAATTCAAATAATCTAAAAATCTATTTTTTTTTTAAACAGGCCCTTGCTATACCCTTCTCAACTCATTTGCTACTCCCTGGAGGAATTGCCTCCACTTTTAATTGTTCAGGTCTTTCTTTTGATATTTAGTTAAATATTTCAAAATAAATTGATTTTTCAGTTTTGAGAAATTGTCTACGAATTCAAACTGTGAAGGATGAGGTTTAGTAAACGCAGAATAAGAATTACATAAAGTCAGAAAAAAAGGATTGCATAAAGTCAAGGCAGATAGACAGAATAAGCCTAAGTTACTACCACAGTACATTAAATTTTACTCATAATGTTATTCCTTTAATTAGTGTGATAAAATACAGAAGATTTCGATTAACATGCAAATGTATCATCTGATAAATATTAGGGTGATCCAGAAGTTATTTTGTTTTCTAATCTCTTCACTTACATTACTTTTTCAGGCAGGCATTGAGCCATGCAAAATCCTAAAGAAGTAGGCCATGGGACATGTAAATACTGATATGAATAGGGAGAAAATAGGTTCAGAAAATATGTAGATCTGTCCAGGGCTTGGTAAGGACGGGCAGATGGGAAATTAAACATAGGAAGGGAGGCTATCTTTCTTACTTCAAGGCAAGCTAAAGTAATTTTTGCCTGAATTAAATGTAAGTCTGTGGCACAAATCATGCTGCTTCCTTATCTGTCAAACTAAAATGATACATAAATTGGTCCTATTCTTTTTTTGCCATCATTTATACCTTTCTTTGGATTCTGCAGACCTATAGGAATTGCATTGTGCTACAGGGATCTACAATGGGCATCAGTCTTTTCTACCCATTCTGTCAGGATAGATTTAAAGGCTTTAATGACTTAATTTTCATGAATCAATATTCAAATGTTTGAATTCCTCTTCCTTTCCTGCTTGCTTCTAGTTTAAGCTGGCAAGACCACAAAGTTAGCAAAATTCTGCCTCATTATTTATCCCAAGAGCAACATTTAAATTTATTCTTCACCATAATGAGGCTTAAGCTGTAGGGATTGGGAAAGAATGCTGGCTAGAGAGTCCCGATAGATGGATTAGTTAATCACATATACTGGTCAATTTTAATTGAAAAACTTTGCCAACTTACTGTGGTAAAATAAGGTAGCTTCACATCAAATCATGTCCCCAGCATTGTGATCTGTGAAATAAAAACATTATTTAATAAATGGTGTATTCAAATTAATTTTTGTGTTTTTTTGTTCGTTTGTTTGTTTTTTACTTCTGAAATCAACTTTGACAGGATCAGAGTCAAGGAATATTTTCAAAATGGACACTTCATCCAAAGAAAATATCCAGTTATTCTGCAAAAGTTCAATGCAACCTGTCGGGCAATCTTCCTTTAAAACAGAATATTCTTCCTCAAAGGAGAAACAACGATGCTGTGGTAAACTGAAGGTAACAAACAATTAAATGGTAAACAAACAACCATAAGTAGTGAAGGAAAGAGTAACAAAGAATTAGGTGGGAGGAAAAAAACCCGAATTAGGTGGAGGCTATGTTGTTGACTCTCCATCCAGATGTGTGCTACACAATTTCATAATTCATATTTCTGTGCAATTACATATTTCCCATATGTAGCTAGAAGCAAGAATTTTTTTTCCCTTTTTAAAAAGTGAACTTAGGTGCAATTTATTAAAACTACACTTTACCAGACAGTGAAATCCATCTCTCCCTACCATGTAGGTTAAATTAGTAAATATTACTCTCTCTGGACTCATTTGAATGCACCTCTTAAACTGAAATAAGAGAGGAAAGAAACTAACATTTATTCAGTTTTTACCATGTACCAGATATTATGCTAAGTATAGTTATTTAATCTATAAAACATCTATATCATTCCCATTTTATAAAGGAAAATTTTGACTTTCCTTGCCACACAACAAGGGACAGGGGAGCTTTTTAAGTGGTGCTCAGTGTGACTCCCAAGTTCCTGTTCTTTCTTTGTACCAAACATTCATTCAGCAAATATATGTGTTTTTTCGTATAAATGCTAACCTCCTCTTTGGATACTCCATCAAGGACTCGGGTCTAGCAGAAAAACACAAGCCAACTATTAAAAAAAACATTCATACTCAAATGTATGAATTTAACTTGAATATGAACTTAAACGCGAGGATAGTAGTTACACCTTTTTGGTCTATTGTGTCTCGTGCTGGTGCATGCATCACCACTGTGAAACCCACAGTCATGAGTACAAGACTTATAATAATATTAGTAAGTGTTTGAATTATGGTTCTTGTTTTATTTTCTTACCTGTGAATGGCTCCTTCCACTCTTTGCTTCACCATACAGTGGATCATCCTTTCAAAGCCAAGACTCCTTCAAATGTCCTTTGGGGGAGGGGAAAAGAAGGGAAAGAACAGAATTCAACATACATTCTGAATGAAATCTGTTTCAGAATTTGTATTTTTAGCAATCTACCTGAGCTTGAGGCTGAAGTAAGCCTGTACGCATGCTTGAGAGAAAGCTTGTTACTTGTTCTTGGTTTGCATTTTTGTCTATTTATTTAGTTAAGTTTCCACTTGTGTGTCAAGCTGGAGTCAGATTAAGTGTGACTTGTCCTATTTTCCAGGTATTTTTGGGTGCCTTGTCTTTCGTCTACTTTGCCAAAGCATTGGCAGAAGGTTATCTGAAGAGCACCATCACTCAGATAGAGAGAAGGTTTGATATCCCTTCTTCACTTGTGGGAGTTATTGATGGTAGTTTTGAAATTGGTAGGTATTGCTGATGCCTGGTTTTACTTTTACATGTCTTCTAGACATGACTAAATGACATCCTTGCTGCATTCTCTTGTCTGTTAGGATCAGACTCTATCTGTAAATTCTTGTTGAGACAGAATTTGCTAGGACTTTATGTTACAGTAGAGGCAATTTGTTCTCCCCAAGCAACCAACAATAAATTTCCCGCCCCAGGTGTTCAGCACTATATGATTCACACAATCTAGAGTTTCCAATCAGAGTGAGAGACTTTCTTGGAGGAGAGGGTGAGGTGCTATTAGGATTTTAAGTTAGAAGTATTTGGGAAGTGTTGTTACAAGAAGAGTCCTATATCCTGACAGCCCTGTGATTCAAAATTTGGAAGAATTCAGATGGGCTCTGCAAATATTTATTGTAATAATTTAAGAAGTGAAACCATAAAAGGGGTTTCTGCCCAGAGGTCAACACAGAAGAGAAAGAAATCCTATTAACAGTAGAGAACAGTAGAGCAAGGCAGCCAAGAAAAATTCTACTCTCACACGTCTTTGGGGAGCAGTTGACTATAGACTTCTTCTTAGCACTTGAAAAGACCAAGTGATTTTAGTTACTGTTTTGGAAGTACTTTAAGGAGTGTAATCCCAGGTACAACTTCCTGAATTGATAAACTACAAGGCTTTACTTCTTCACTGAAGTAAACAAAATGGTAGCCTCTGGGGTCCTTACTACCTGTTGGGACTCAAATATATGCTTTACTATACATAATAAAATCTCTAATGGCTCCAGGTTCAGCTCACTTAAACTTTCAGAAAAGTGAAGAAATATTTTTCAACTCTGCAACAATGACTTTTTTAATACGTACTGTATATTTCAGTTCTTACCCTGAATATCTCAAAAAGAATGAATATGTATCCTTTTACGTTTAGGGTTTTCTTCCCAAATCCATCTATCATCATCCTACTAAAATGGGATTACTTAGCTCAGTGCTAATCAAATGTTAATGTGCATACAAACAATTGGGCAATCTTGAAAAAATGCAGGTGCTCATTCTTTTAGGAAGGGGAGTAAGACTGCCTTTTTACAGGCTCTCCTATGATGTGATGCTGTTAAGTAAATGGGCCATATTTTGTGTAGCAAGTTTCTAAAGCATCTGATCATATTACTCCCTTGTGTAAATTCCCTAGATAGGCCTTGATAATTGATGTATTCCTTGATGCCTGTCCTATCTATAGCCCTAAATTGAATCAAGGTAAGAGTGACACACTGATTCACAGGAAGAAGCCAGTATGAGAGGCAGCTGTTACAGATTGAAAGATTAAATCACACAGAAAGAAGAAGAAATGAGCAGATAGAAAATTATATATTGAGTGATACTTTAATTATGACTCACTCTAGATTATGGTATAAAAACATTTTAGAGCCAAAGAGACTTACAATATGGTCCAAATTTCTCTTGGGTCCCCACATCCTGATGCAACTTGAGAGAGTCTATATTCAATAGAGAGTACTAATATTTCACAGGAAGTGACAAAGGATCTTGAGAATAAATTCATTCTTCCAGATCATTCCAAGGATGGAAGTTATTTATTGAATTAGATACAATAGAATGTATCTAATTCAATAAATAAAAGTGGGTTTCCTGACCATAATCTTAAACTACTCCTTTTGCCTCCTTCCTTCCAGGATTCTGGACCCACTCCCACTTTTGTCTCTAGCTCTCATTTCTTCTTTTTTGTAGAACAATTTCATTTATTCTCTGACATCATTATCTCATGTCCACATACTGGACACTCCATTTTTTCCCAAGTATTTTTTCATAACAAAGTCTTTCTCCAACAACAACAGAGCTGCTAAGAAAATTAAAAAAAAATGTTTTCTATATCATGACCTCCTAATATTTCCAAATATTCTCTTTCAAATACTTTCCCATATATTCTTATACATATTGAAAAGTTTTGCTTTTCACATTTTAGTATTTAATCAACTTCATATAGATTTTATAAAAACTTTGTTTTTTAAAAAAATACATTATATGTTAAAAAAAGAAGATAGCAGGAAGGGAAGAATGAAGGGGGGGAAATCGGAGGGAGAGACAAACCATGAGAGACTATGGACTCTGAGAAACAAACTGAGGTTTCTAGAGGAGGGGGGTGGGAGGATGGGTTAGCCTGGTGATGGATATTAAAGAGGGCACGTTCTGCGTGGAGCACTGGGTGTTATGCACAAACAATGAATCATGGAACACTACATCAAAAACTAATGATGTACTGTATGGTGATTAACATAACAATGATAAAAATATTAATGACAAAAAAAACTTTGTTTTTTAGAGTAATTTTGTGTTCACAGAAAAATTTAGTGAAAGTTACAGAGATTTTTCATATACACTCTACTCCCACAAATGCAAAGCCTCTCTCATTATCAACATCCCCCACCAGAGTGGGACGCTTGTTACAGCTGATGGACCTACAATAACATTATTGTCATTTAGCGTCCATAGTTAATACTAAGGTTCACTCTTTGTGTTGTATATTCTATGAGATTGAACAAATATATAATGGTACGTATCCACTACTACAGTATCACGCAAACTACTTTCACTGCCCTAAAAATCACTGCTCTACCTATTCATCCAACCTTTCTCCTACCCCTGGCATCCACTGATGTTTTTAATGTCTCCATAGTTTTGCCTTTTTCAGAATGTCGTATAGTTGGAATCATACAGTATGTCACCTTTTCAGATTGGCTTCTTTCACTTAGTAATATGCATTTGGGGTTCCTCCATTTCATAGCTGGATAGCTCATTCCTTTTTAGTGCCAGATAATAATCCATTTTCTGGATAGGCCTTCATTTACTTATCCATTCATCCACTGAAGTACATCTTGATTGTTTCAAAGTGTTGGCAATTATGAATAAAGCTACTATAAAATCCCTGTTCAGGTTTTTGTGTGGACATATTTTCATTTTCAGCTCATTTGTGTGAATACCAAGGAGCATAACTGCTGGATCATATGGGAAAATATGTTTAGTTTTGTAAGAAACTGCCAAATTGTTTCCCAAAGTGTATGTACCATTTTGCATTCCCACTAGCAATGAATGAGCTTCTTTTTGCTCCATGCCCTCACCAGCATTTAGTATTTTGGATTTTGGCCATTCTAATAAGTATGTAGTGGTGTCTCATTGTCATTTCAATTTGTGGTTCCCTCATGTCATATGATGTTGAACATCTTTTCATATGCTTATCTGCCATCTGTATATCTTTTTTGGTGACCTGTTAAGTTATTTGGCCTATTTTTAAATCTCATTGTTTGTGTTCTTATTGTTGAGTTTTAAGTGTACTTTGTATATTTCCAATAACCGTCCTTTATCTGATATGACTTTTGCAAATATTTTCTCTCAGTCTGTGGCTTTCTTTTCATTCTTTTGACAGTATCTGTCACAGAAAAGAAATTTTTAATTTTAATGAAGTCCAGCTTATCCATTTTTTTTGGTCACAGATTTTGCTTTTGGTACTGCATCTAAAAAGTCATCACCAAACCTAAGGTCATCTAGGTTTTCTCCTAAGTTATCTTCTAGAAGTGTTATAGTTTTGCATTTTAAATTTAGGTCTGTGATCTCTTTTGCCTTTATTTTTGTGAAGAGTATAAGGTCTGTGTCTAACTTCATTTTTTTTTTTGCATGACGATGTCCAGTTGTTTCAGCACCACATGTTGAAAAGATTATGTTTGCTCTTTCTTATTACGTTTGCTCCTTTGTCGAAGATCAGTTAACTATATTTACGTAGGCCTGTTTCTGGGCTATAAATTCTATTCCATTGATCTATTTGTCTATTCTTTCACCACTGTTACACTGTCTTGATTAATGTGGCTTTATAGTATGTCTTGAAGTTCGGTAATGTCGATCCTTTAACTTTGTTTTTCTTCAGTATTGTGTTGGTTATTCTGGGTCTTTTGCCTCTCCAGTTTGTCAGCTTAGAAATCATTTTGTCAATATCCACAACATAATTTCCTATGATTTTGGCTGAGACTGCATTGAATCTATAGAACAAGTTGGATAGAACTGGCATATACTGTCTTCCTATTCATGAACATGAACGTATCTCCATTTATCTAGTTTTTCTTTGATTTCTTTCATCAGAGTTTTGTAGTTTCTCTCATGTAGATCTTGTACATATTTTATTAGATTTATACCTAAGTATTTCGTTTTGGGGGGTGATAAAGTAAATGCTTTTTCAATTCCATTTGTTCATTGCTGGCATGTAGAAAAGCAGTTTACTTTTGTATATTAACCTTGCATCTTGCAACCTTACTATAATCATTTATTAATTTCAGGAGTTCCTCTGTCGGTTCTTTTGGAGTTTCTATACAGATGATCATATCTTCTGGGAGCAAAGACAGTTTTATTTTTTCCTTCCCAGCCTGTGTACTTTTACTTGTTTTTCTTGTCCTATTATATTTAGTAGAACTCCCAGTACAATAATGAAAAGTAATGGTGAGAAGGGACATTCTTACTTTGTACCTGATCTTAGTAGGAAGCTTTGAGTTTATCATCATTAAGTATGATGTTAACTGTATGTTTTTGTAGAAGTTCTTTATCAAGTTGAGGAAATTTGTCTCTCTTCTGCATTTACTGAGTTTTTATCATGAATGGTTGTTGGATTTTGGTCAAATGCTTTTTCTACATCTATTGATATGAGCATGTGATTTTTCTTCTTTAGCCTGTTGATGTGCTGGACTATATTAACTAAATTTCTAATGTTTAACTGGTCTTGTATACCTGGGATAAATCCCACTTGGTCATGGTGTCTAATTCTATATATTGTTGAATATGACTTGCTAATATTTTGTTGAGGATTTTTATACCTGTGTTCATGAGAGATATTGACTTATAGGGATTTTTTTTTGTCTGGTTTTGGTATTATGGTAATGCTGGCCTCATAGAAATGATTTAGGAAATTTCCCCTCTGCTTCTATTTTTCAAAAAAGATTATAGAGAATTAGTATAATTTCTTCATTAACTGCTGGGTCAAATTCACCAATGAATCTTTCTGGGTCTGGTGCTTTCTGTTTTAGAAGGCTATTGATTATTGGCTCAACTTCTATAATAGATACAGGCCTGTTCATATTGTCTATTAATTCTTAGAGAGATTTGGCAGATTGTGTCTTTTAAGTAGTTGGTCCATTTTATTTAGGTTATCAGATTTGTAAGCATAGAGATGTTCATAGTACTCCTTTATTATCCTCTTAATGTCCATAAAATTTATAGTGATGTCTCCCCTTTCATTTCTGGTATTAGTAATTAGTATCTTCTCTCTCTTTTTTTTTCTTTCTTTCTTGATGAGCATGAGTAGAGGCTTATTGATTTCATGGATCTTTTCAAAGAATCACCTTTGGTTTTGCTGATTTTCTCTTCTGAGTTTCTGTTTTCAATTTCAGTTATTTCTGCTCTAATTTTATTATGTCTTGTCTTCTACATACTTTAGATTTAATTGGCTCTTCTTTTTCTAGTTTCCTGCATAGAAACTTAGATAACTGATTTTAGATTTTTCTTCTTTCCTAATATATGTATTCAATGCAATGAATTTCCCTCTAATCATTGCTTTACAGTAATAGGGTTTTTTTTGTTACCATTCCTATTTAGTAATTGCTGGAATATTGGAACAGTATTAATATCCAATGTTATCTGTATGCAGCAACCTTGCTGAATTTATGTTAATTTTTTTTTAATTTGAGTATAGTTGACACAAAATGTTACATTAGTTTCAGGTGTACAACTTAGTGATTTGACAAGTTTATAATTTATGCTATGTTCACCACAAGTGTAATTATCATCTATTCCGTCACATCACTATTACAGTATCATTAACTGTATTCCTTATGCTGTGCCTTTTATTCCCATGATTTATTCATTCCATAATTTGGTAGCCTGTATCTCCCTCCCTCCTTCATCCATCTTGCCCAACCATTCCTACCCTCTGGCAACCTTCAGTTTGTTCTCTGTATTTAAAGTTCTGATTCTGCTTTTTTTATTCATTTGTTTTTTTAAGATTCAACTTATAAGTGGAATCATATGGTATTTGTCTTTCTCAGTCTAACTTATTTCACTTATAGGTTTACCCATGTTGTCCCAAATGGCATGATCTCATCCCTTTTTATGGCTGCATAATATTCCTCTGTGTGGGGGGGGGGATGTGCATGCACACGCGTGTGTATACACCTCCTCTTTGTTATCCGTTCATTTATGATAATAGAAGTGATTTTTGATATCCAATTTAATTTTTTAAAGATTATCACCATTAATTTTCTATGTGTATCTTCTGAGAACTCAGAAGGGTTACTAAGTAAAAAAAGAAAAAAACTTTATAGATATCACAGACACTGAAGTGGTATTATGTGGTCTTTGGCATACCCACTAATGTAACACAGAAACAGCCTGAAACATCAGTCTTTTATTGTGAGGTGTTGGTGGCGTGGGAGTTGGGGAGGGTAGGTGATGTTGGTTGCAGGATACATTATCTATAAACTGAAGGTCAGCTTTCACTGTACTTTATTTTATTAATTGTGACACATTAACAAAAGTATAGACATAATTATCAATGTAATATGATACAAAATTTCTTCTAAATGCTTAAATATCAAATGAGAAATCTCATATTCAAGGTTTTTCTTCCTTGTGAAAATTAAAAGAAACTTAATTCTTTCTGGAACCATAACCTAGAGCCACTATGCAAGCTAATTTTCTCACTGTCATTATTGTCCTCAAGGCTATAAAAATTGCTGCTGTCTTTGCACTTGACTAAAGCTGGCAATGTGAACAAACAGTAGTAAATTAGATGATTGCTTACAGATGTAAGCAAACATACTCTTGCTAGAAAATTGGAAACATTGAAGATAGCTTCAAAGCAGCACTACCCATCAGCCATCACAGTCAGTTGTTGGGGAGTTGCTAAGTTCTTACTCTACCTAGCACTGCAGTTTTTAAAAACTATTCCAAATGCAAAGAGCTGAAACTTTAAAAGCCCTTTGAAATCTAGGATCCTAAACAATGTTTAACCAAGCATGTTCCTGGAACCATCTCCATCAGCACATTTAAGCTTAAAAATGCAGATTTCTTGGCCTACCCCTAGATCCATGGGATGAGAAACTGTTGGGAGCTTCCAAGATTTTGCATTTTTAAAGGTTTCTGTTTTCCTCACCACCTCCTTCCAGTATTTTTGTATACAGCAAAATACGAGGATATTTTTCCCTAAAGCATATTTAGTCACTCATCACCATCATCAACTAAAAGTAATTTTATCATATGCTTCTCTAGAGACTTTTTATAAAAATGTAATTTCCACCTTCAAAAAAATTTCTTCAATTTTTTAAAAAGATGGGTACATTTTATGGAAATTTTGTATTTCATAAATTTGGATTATAAGTAAACATTGAGATTATATAACTGGTATATTCCTGAAGTTTGCTTATGTGATGTAATTTTTACCTCTGTTTTGAGTCTTTTTGTAAAAAGCATGTAACAAATTGTAAAGTATTTTAGTATTAATATGAATTTCATATTTTGAAATTATGATAAAAACTTTAATAGAAAATATTAATGAATGAAGAAACAGTAATAAAGTTCACTTCAAAATCACTAAGGAAAACTTAAGAGAGCAATAAAGGAATGCTTCTACAATTTGATTTACTTATAAAACACTTTAAAAGGACAAATGATTAGGGTGGATGAAATTGAGGTGGTAGTGTTCATAATTAAAGTATTTTGATAAATGGATAAGATAATCGAAGTAATGAGTATGCAGACAATTTCAACAGTCATCTTAGATTAAAGCAAAGAAAGACAAAGGATGGGAACGATGGTGGGGAGACAGTGTAGTTACAACAAAACATTGCCAGACCTGCTATAGACATTCGTTAATTTAGTTATGCTGATGACTTTTTCTAAGTTATCTAACTGATGAACATTTTATTCTTCACCCCAAGGGAATCTCTTAGTTATAACGTTTGTAAGCTACTTTGGAGCCAAACTTCACAGGCCAAAAATAATTGGAACAGGGTGCCTAATCATGGGAGTTGGAACATTGCTCATTGCAATGCCTCAGTTCTTCATGCAGCAGTAAGTCTAAAGCAATTATCTTTTCTTGCTTTCACCAACTGTATTCCTCCCTTTTTATAATTGCAATTAATTATTTAAATTTAAGAAAATGACACATAGCTTAAAGTGTAATGATCATATCTCATTTTTGTTATATCTTCTTTGGGTAAAATTTCAGAATACTTACACTTTTACTTATAATTCAGTAATCTATAAAAATTGTTTTGATAGACTACTGTCGATGTCAGCAAAAATTAAAGGGAAATTTTCACTAGATGTCTTCATTCAAATAATTTATCTGTGGTGGTAAAATAAGTAAGAAATTAACATATTGTGGTAAATATTAAATGGATGTCAAATGGGTAACGAATGAATGCTACTGACTATGTGCTGGATAACTTGACTGGCAGATTATTGACTTAAGGATATATTATCAATTTAAATAGATAGTGTCCAAATACCATCTCATAGAATTTTTGTCAATAGAAGTAGGGTGTGTGTATTCTTTAATCCTAAAGTCTACTTTTGGTACTTCTGCTAATACTTTTGTTAGTATTTGCATACAACTTCAGTAGTTCCGAAGGTTTTCACCATTATTATATCATTTTACCTTTACCTGTGAGGTAGAAGAGCATTGTTTATCTTTTTATTTCAGAGTCTGGTGACTTTCTCAAGGTTATTATAGAACTGGAATCCTCAAACAGGTATTCTGACTTCTTCATGCATATTCATGTTGCCTTCCTTGTCCATGGTTACCTGTTGCCAACTGAGAGAAGTGACTACCTAGAGGTTTTGAAGCAAGAAAATTGTAAAAATTATATATCAAATCATACTTTGCTTACTGTCCACTCCAGATCATTACATCATGACATTTTAGAGCTGGAGACACTTCAGTATGATATAGTCCAAACTTTTTTTTGGAATCCCAACTTACTTATATAGACAGATTTTTACCTCCGTGGTCAATCTATAAAGGTAATACACAGAATCCTCTGTGTGGGATCTTTTCTACCTATTTGGATGGTTTCCCTGGCCCCTTTATTTTTACTTGGAGAGAGATTTTAGACCTTCTGCCTGCTCTTTGGATGCTTATCCCTCTTTGGATGCCTATCCCACCTCCTTTCCACAGGGCAAAATTTTCCTTAGATCACTGAGGTTCTGCAGAGGTGCTGTACAGAGCCAATGGATAAGGAGGAGGCAAAGGAGAAGGCTGAGGACTGAGGAAACGGGTCTTCACTCTGCCTAATCCCTGCCTGATCAAGAGCCATGCCACTAATATCTGTTCTAGTCACTGAGCCCTCATGCAACAGTTTGCTCAGTGAGGTAAAAAGAATTCCATTACTGAAAGAATTAGAATCTGAAAGTATTTGCAGAGGATAAATAAATCCTTGACTCTTGACATAACTCATTCTGCAGTGGATCAATAGCTTTTCTGCATGACCTTGGGCATGTTATTTAACCTTTCTAGGCCTCAGTTGATGCATCCCAAAAATAGGTATTATAGATATTAAAAATAATACCTAGCTTATAATAGCATTGCATATATTAAATGACACAGCTAAAATGCTTACACAGTTTCCTGATATAACTAGTAGCTATGTCATTATTGTTAAGTTTTGCTATCAATCCTCCTTAGATAATTAAACCACCTGGTTTTAACCAGAGACCAGCCATGGTTTGTCTTAAAGGTGTTGCGTTCAGATTAATAATTTTGTTACTTCAAGTTAATGACAAATATAAAATACTAGTACAAGAAAATCAGAAGACCAGACAGGCAGCCAGGTTAGGGCTATCAAAGGATTCCGAAGAGTCAAAGACAGATTCTTATATACTACCTTTATATATGTTTAAATTGTATTTGTTTATTCATTATTTAGTGTCTGCCATTTTCCTGGAACTGTGCCATGTAATAGGGCTACTTCTGTGGGAAAAAAATGAAATAAACAAAAATATATATGCACAGTTCTTTACCTATGAAATTTACTGTCTACTGAGGATTACTGTAATAACTTCTTTTCAACTTTTCATAGCATGAACTGGGGACTTGTCCAAAATGTCTTTTTGATTTCTGAAAGACTACTATACTCTGTCTGCCTAGAAGAAATACCTTTACTGTCCAACAAAACATAATATTTATCATGGATATCAATTATTGAAGGCCTACCCCCAACTGTGTTTAGCTTTATATGTGTTAGCTCGTCTGACTCATGAATTTAACAAATACATATTGGTCATTGTTCTAGGTAATGGGGATAGAGTGGAGACAAAAATCTCTGCTCTCGTGGATCTTATGGGGAGGAGACAGATAATAAACAAATAAATAATGATATAATATGCCAGATAATGTTAAGTGCTATAGAGAAAAATAACTTTCTCAAGACACATGAAGAGTATGTTGTGGGGAGGGAGGATTGCAGTTTAAGGTAGGGTTGGCAGGGGATGGCTCACCAAGATGACAACACTTGGGAAAGACTGAAGGAGATGAAGGGGAGAGCCTTGCAGATAACTGGGGAAGAGAGGTTTTTGTGCTGACTGAATGACGAATGTAAATTTCCTGCTGCAAGAGGGAGTCTGGCATGTGGATGAACTGCAAGGAGGCCAGGCTTCTGTGGCTGAAGTGGGATGAGAAGGGAAAAAGGAGAAGCCATCAGGGTTGTTTCTCAAACTTTGATGGGCATTTGTGTCACCTGAGGCTCTTGGTAGAATGTAGATTCTGATTTAGTAGCTGTCCCATAGAGTTTGGTTTCAGCTGGTGCTGCTGGTCTGCAGACCTCACCTTGAGCTCTAAGGTTGCAAACAATGGCAATGACTTCAGCTTCTTTTTGGAATGAGATGGGAAGCCAGTGGAGAGCTTTGAGCAGAATGACATGACCTCACTTACATTTTTTTAAGGGTCATGCAGACTGCCGCTTGAAAAAATAAGTCTGGTGGAGGAAACTTAGAAGTAGGGAGACTATTTAGGAGACTATTGTATCAGAGTCAAGACTGTGTCCGAGTTTGAATCCAGGTCAGAACTAAAATCCCTGATTTAAAAGCATTTAAACCACTCGTCCCCTGTTCAATTACTTTTCTGTCTCTTTATCCAACAGAGCCTAAATAGGCACAGATTACACGGATACCCCCATTTACCAGTAAGAAGATTGAAATTTGAAGAGGTTGATTTTTCTAGCGTGTTATATATAGTAATTAGTGACAAAGGAGATACTTGCATAAAATTCCACTTATTCAAAATCTAAATAATTGTTATGCTTATGCATAACAGTTGCATTTTAATAGAATGAATTGAGAAAGCTCAAATAATTTAAAAATTTTAAAGTACTACGTAATCATTACTGATACTCATTTTTTTTAAAGATTTTATTTATTTGAGAGAGAGAGAATGAGAGATAGAGAGCACGAGAGGGAGGAGGGTGAGAAGGAGAAGCAGACTCCCCGCTGAGCAGGGAGCCCGATGAGGGACTCGATCCCGGAACTCCAGGATCATGACCTGAGCCGAAGGCAGTCGCTTAACCAACTGAGCCACCCAGGTGCCCACTGATACTCATTTTAAGAGCCTTGAGGCACTGTAGCAGTCTATATTATGTTTATCATGATTTTAATGCCAAATATTCTTCTGTAAAGCTAAGAATTGAAAAACAGTTATCCTCCATAAGTGGCTCTTAACCTATTTTGGTCAGAGAACTATTTGATAAATGTAACAAAAACTATAAACTTCTTCCCTTAAATACTAACATACTACAAAAATGTTCTTTTTCTTTGGGGTTCATGGAACCATTGAGGTGTAGGTTATGCAACAGTCTGAATATTTTAATAATTCAATATATCTCTTCCTTACATGGCTGAGTAGGTTGTTAATATTTAAAAATATTACTCTGATTACTAGTCTTTAGTCATGTGGTACCTGAACAAAAGGAGAATCAAGATGAGGTTGTGATGTCCTTTTATTAGGTACTGCTTCCCTGAGGATGCAGTGGAACAGAGAATTTGGCTCATGAAGGATAATTTGAGAGGGGGTGTGGCTGGGGAACTCAGAATTAACACAGTGCTACCATTCAGCATGACTCTTCTATCCAGCTGTTACTGTAACCTTACATTCAGAGGAAAGGTGGAATTAGAAATAACTTAGAGCCAGATCAATAAACTGTAGAGGAAAGCAATGCCATCCAGATAAATGGATCAAAACCCCCACATATTAAAGGAGAGGAAAACGGAGGCAAAGTAGGAAGACCCTAGGCTTACCTCATCCCATGAACAACGAACGCTAGATAACTATCAAATCATCCTAAATACTCCAGAAATTGACCCGAAGACTGACAGAACAAACTCCACAACTAAAGGGAGAGAAGAGTCACACTGAAGAAAGTAGGAAGTGTAGTGACCTGGTTTAGGGAAGATCAGATCAGATTGCAGGTGCTGAGGAGGGAAGGGAGATGTGGTCGCAGAGAAGGACAAGAGAAAGAGAAGCACATGGGGGAATACACAAGGAGAATGTTTCCCCCATAGCCATTGGCTTGGAAAATGAGAGGGGCTGAACTTCATGAGTTCTTGGAACCAGTGGGGCATAATGCTTGGAGTTTTAAAGGTCAGCAAGTTTCACTGGGATAAAGCCCAGAGGGTAATGTGCTGCTTCTGAAGAGAAGGCAGGCAAACAATCCAGGGGCATACAGCATGGAAATAGTGATCTGAAGAACGCCTAGGGCACACAACAGGGACATTATTTGCTCTTCTTGGAGCATGTCCCTGAGAGATAGAACTCACAGAGATACCTCTCTGAAACAAAGGAGCTGGCTGGGCATTCCCCACCCCTACCACCCCTTAGCATAAACACAGAGCTCCCTCAGTAAGCAGCACAGTGCAGACGCTGGCTGCCTAACTTGCTTATACCAAGCCCCACTCTGGCAGGACTGCTCTTCTCAGTCAAACTTGCCAGTCCCAGTCCTTTCTGGGCCCCTACCCCAGAAGACCAGCACAAGCCCCTGCCCACACCACATTTCCCAACCAGAGAGTTCTGCAGGACCTTG